TGGCTGCAGCCACAACAGGACTGAGTGCACAGCGCGGCGCGGAGGCCCCCGGGGCTTTGTTCCCTGTGGGCAGGCTGGCTATCGGGTCTGCGCTGTGGAAAGCCAGGCTCGTAAACACGCTGGGCCCCCCCACAGTTGACGACTATTAATCTGAGACTAAGTGAAATGTCCTGGTGCTACAGGAAGACAGAGGAGGACAGCGGGAAAGAAGTGGCAGACTTCATCTGGTGGAGAGGGGTTTGGCATAGACTTTCTCAGGAGGCGGCCCTCGGAAGGGGGGTAGGGGGTGGGGACGGGTGTGTGGGCACGCTGTTGTGCAGTGCGAACTGTGTAAGGGGGGTATCGTGTGCTTTGAGCTACTGAGTGAACCATAGGGGCACTTGGCAGAGTGGTGGCGGTCGAATTGTATAAAAATAAATATTTTGGGGAAAAAAATATGTGGTCGGGCAGGCTGGAACCCAGCCAGGAAGCAAGAAGGTTCAGCCCTCCCCTCCAGGCCAAATCAACACGGCTTTCCTCGCACCCCAAGAAAAGATTCCTTTCTGACCTCGCCCAGGAAAACAGGGATCCAGTGGTGGCAGGGAAGGCCTCCCTGTCACTGGAGGCCTCTAGGGCAGGGTGGTGCTGGGAGCTCCCCCCTGTGGAGCTACACTTGCTTCCTGAAGAACAGGGATGATTTCCCCCACCTCCAGCTCTGAAGAGTACCAGCCATGCTCCAGCTTGCAACCAATGTTCTCACTTTTTCTTTTCTGACCACTGTCCAGTCCTTCTGTATTCGGGTAGTGTTCGCCATCTCCTCAGTCATTCATTTTCCCTTCTGCATTCCCATTCTCTCTCTCTCGTTGCCCCATCCCCTTCTCTGCCAGAGTGGAGAGCACATTATGTGAACCTGAGTTCCACCAGTAATGATGTGCTGCAGAGAGGGGAGCAGAGGGAGAGTATAAAGCAAATGTGGGGGGTGCCCTGGAAGTCATCTCTTCACCCTGCCAGCCCCCCCACAACAGTAATTGCAAGGGCTGAATCTTCCCCACTGCTTGTTCTCTTCCATTGATCTGGGTTCCCCTTATCCCTTAATACAGGTTGAAAGGATCAAAAGGCTACACTGGTTGGAAGGGCTTTATCCCCTCACAGGCCCTTTGTTCTGATGAATGTCAGGACTCCCCTTTTCAGCCTGTAGCAAGAGCCCTATAGTAGAAAGCCCCTCATCCTTCCACAAGCAGTGGTCAAGCACTCAAAAGGGATGATAGCTCAGCACCTTTGGTACCTCACCCCATTGCCTGGAAGCAGTGACAGCTGCAACAACAGTTGTGGAAGAGTCTCTCCATTGACCTTGCAATGGAAACAGGAACAACTAGAAGAGGCTTCCTTACTTGGGAGAATGAGGATCTCAAGAGAATGTCAACTAGGACTTTTACCTGCATCCTGAACACAGACCGAAATGACCTTTGTCACCCTTCATCAGGAGCAGCCATGGCTCCCTTGCCATAACCCTAGATGAAAGCCTATCTTTACAATTTGCTGTTCCAGACAGTATGCTCAGGAGCAAGGACTGCAAAACCCTTCCCCAGGATGGTGACCAGGAGTCCCTGAAGTAGACTCTTGGCCTCCAAGCCCCTAAGTGGACTCCTAGATTCTTCTTTTCATTGATTTGAAATGTTTCCTACCCCAGCCAGGCAAGGAAACTGAACAGGAGTTAAGTCTAGTTGGAGACTTCCCTTTCCCAGCTGCCTGAAGGATACCTCTGGAGTGAATCTGGGGGCACCCTGGGGACTGGAGGCCAAGTTCAAGCAGGAGTTTAAAGTGTAAATATCCGCAGTTATGCAAAGTTCCCAATACTCAGAAGTAGCAAGAAGCTCCTGCTCTCCAGCAGTCACCTGTCTCTGTCAGCAAAGGCAGCCATGTGCCTTTGCCTCCCTACAGGGGCTCAGAATCCAAAACTGTACACACATTCTACCCACTGGCATTAATTCACATGTTAGATAAAAACAAGCAGACTTTTAAAATATTTGAGTTTTAAATCCATTAGCACCTTCAACTCTTGTTTTTTACCCCCGACCATCTAAAGTTTGAATTAATCGGTCATTTATGCCCAAAATGTGACAACTGCCACATGTTGAGATTATTTACATTTTGTTGCTTGTTAACAGCAATTCACTCTGGCTGCAGCTGAGTCACAAAGAATCACTGGCTATTTGCCATTGTTTGTAGAAGTCATTCCTTTGTACTTCTGTCAATCAGACATTCCTTTTAAGAAAACGTCATTAGTTATTTTAGCCTCTTCCAATCTTTGCTTTGTATGTACTGACCAATCTTTATTAAATTAATTATAGCATATAGGTCCTTTCTCTTCTAGCTACATCACCTTCTTTCAACACAGCTCTTGCTGACCAGAAAAAACAAACTCTAAAATCAGACATTTCAGACACACATACATTGACTTAAAATCACTTTGGAACAGTGTTCTGGAATGGTTTGGCATTTTCAGTTCTGACTGGCCAAATTCAGCTGTTTCAGCAGAAGCCCTGTGTAATTCATCTCTAAGCACAGCAATTAAAAAGGCTGCAAGCAGAGGCGTAACAGAGCAGTTCTGTGCTTGAGGCAGCAAATGTGTCTGGGGTGGTGGTGGCCAGCCAGCCAGTAACTACCATGGCAGCTATTTTTGGGCATCCCTCCAAGTCGGCTGCTGCTCTGGTCACCCTTTACCCCTTGCTTATGCTACTGGCTAAAAGCCTAGAATGAGCCATAATCTCAGTTTTGTGAGGATATACTTGATGAGCTCAATCCTGTTCTGCAGTGGCCTTTGTGAAGGACAGACCAGGAAAATGAAAAGTGACAGCTAAAGCCATGTCTACACCAACCAAATAGAGCAACTAGACTTTTGTTATGAACCAGAAGCCAAAAAAACCTCCCTGGTATGCCACTTTTTATACTGGTGTTAGGTATGTACAGTGGGGTTCTTAACAGTACAGTTACATCAGTATAGCTACAGTAGTGCAAAAAACCCACAAGCAATGTTAGAATCTCAGCCTCTAAGAAAGACAAGCTTTTGAATGGAAGGCAAAGTCTACCCCAACCATGTGGTTAGTCCAATATCACCCACAAAAATTCTTGCCTCTGACATATTTGCTAGATCCTCATGGCTACAATCCACTCCAGAATTACCATGTAAGCCTCTCAGTGAATTAATGCCAGCGGGTAGAATGTGTGTAGAGTTTTGGATTCTGAGCTCCTGTAGGGAGGCAAAGGCACATGGCTGCTGGAGAGGTGGCTGCTGGAGAGCAGGAGCTTCTTGCACTTCTGAGTATTGGGAACTTTGCATAACTGCGGATATTTACAAAGCTAAGTAGATGGCAGAGAAGGGTAAAACTTTAGGGAATTTATAGATGTGCTCCAGGAGGCAAGGGGGTGCTTTAATTAGAATGCCTCCAAGAGTCATTTTAATTAAAGCACCAGGAGTGTTATGTGTATTAGCATCCCTGCGCTGAACAATGGCAGCAGTGGCACTTTAAATTTCATCGAACCAGTTTTAGTTAAAGCACCCCCACTGCCATGTTTCAGCATGGGGACACTGATACACATGATGCTGGAGTCCACATGTTCAATTAATCGAGTCTGCTCCAGTGCTGTAATTATAAGTCATCAGAGCAGACTGTCTGCACATGTATAGGTGCCCATAGAGGCTAACTGGTTCAAAGAGATATGAGCCTTCATAGGTAACAGCCTACTTCATCAGATGCAGATAGGTTCCTCAGATAGGGGTATAAACCCTCTAAGGATCTCTATGTGCATTTGCAAAATGAATACATGTTAAGTTATGGGAGGGAATACCTCCAGTGAAAGAATGTACCAATATATTGGAACACCTCCAATGAAGCCACAAACCCTAGATGGTATCCCTATCCAACACTATTAAGTTCAATGAGCTCTTAACGTCAAAGTCTAATCACTAATTACAGCATCATTAATTTTATTATTTAGTACCTATGTGCCAATGGCATCCTGTATTACTCAAAACACTCTTATTAGGGGATTTATCTGCTTTAATGCTATGAATTGAATCTATTACTATCTAGTCCAAGACACTGGGTGATTTTAAAAGCACTGCAACAAGCACTTTTGCACCTGAAGCTTTCAGAGGTAAGACTGTAGTATGCTTTCTGTTTAAAGGACAGACAAGAAGGCAAGATACCTTATAGACTAACCCAAGTGCATGTACATGTGTCTGTGCATGTGTAGAACAAGCTTTGTTCACATTCTTTTACAGCCTCTGGTGAGGTAAGCTTCAGGTATATGTCTGCCTACTTTGGTTCGTCTATAAGGTGCAAATCTACTGTGCCTTCTACTTGACTTCCTACTAACATGGCTAGCTACTACTCTCTGCTAAAGGTCACCCTTTCAACTTCTCTTAAATCCAGTTTGGCTTTAAAATTGATAATGCAATAGCAAGGGTAGAATTGTGGTGCAAACTTGAGTCTATTTAATTAAGAG